TCTTGCGCATCGGTATAACTACGCGTTCCATTTTTTGTATTATATTTTTTAAGCAATCTATATCAGTAAGCAAAGTCTCAAAATTTATCACCAGGTTTTGTGTTTCATCAGAAAGGTTTCAAACTCACGGACTGATTTTGTTGCATTTTTGAAAGTTTTTGTAATTGTTGATGTCGATTTTTTAGCTCAATTTTCGTTTTAGTCTGTTTCCATTTTTCTGTTTTCGTAATTACTGATAAAATTCATGATTTTTCATCTATCTTTTTTAAAAATTCACCAATAATTTATAAAAAGCGCTTCGTTGAGCTTGCCAATTTTTTCAAACGAAAGTTTTTTTTTAATTGTTTTTTTGTCGTTTTTTTTGCATATAATAATTAACTTAGGCTAAATTGAGCTAAATTGCAGATAAATTTGTACTGACAAATAACTGGAATTTGGGTGACTAAGATGGAAAATAGTCATGAGAAACCTCAAAAAAGGGTTGTTTGTTATCAATGACCTCTGTTTTGTATTCTCGTCTAGTTTTCTAGGAAAAATTTATAAAATTAACTACTGAGAAAATGAACAATTTTGAAAGTTTTGCAAGTTTGGCAGTTTTGCTCGTGATGTTGAGTTGTTGGTTGTAAAAACTAATCAGAATCAGATCAAAAGATATCTTTGAATAAAAAACTACAGATGAAAAGGTTTTTCCAATTTCTCGAATTACAGGTTTTTTGTTAAAGCTTTCTTTTTTGGTGCTAATTCGTTTCAATAGGTTGAAAGTTGAACAAAACTTAAAAATAGCATTTGGATTTTTTAAAGTTTGAGTTATTGTCCTGAAATACAAAACGAGTTTTCTGTGTTAAAAATTTATAAAAGTAGCATGTTTTTTTTAAAAAAAAAAGAAATCAAAAATATGGAATGCTTGCCGGTTTTTTGGTTTGTTAGCTAAAAACTCAGTGTTCTATGTTGGGTTTGAGTTTATTGAAAAACTAGAAGTGTCTGAAAAATCGCATTAGTTTGTACTGCTTTTTCGAGTATTCGAATGCAATTTTGAAACTTCAGTTTCTTAGTACGTTTTCTGTTTGGTGAAATTTGTACTGTCACGTGCAACAGAAAATGGAAGTTCACATTTTTAACTACTGCCGTTTTCGGTAAACCCGCATTAGAGTTTCATGGGTTTTAATCGTTTGTATTAGGTTTTCACGGTCAGTCTCCACAAAATTCAAAGAAAATAGATTATAAAATTCTTTTTTGGCAAAACAATAAAATCCATTCTAATCGATTATTCATTTTACTTCCCTCGTCCCCCGTCTTATCTTTAACGTTTTTTTAGAAGAATCACCGCCGGGGGAGGGGGTTCGTTGCTGAACGTATCGCCTAAGCATTTTGATCCCTCTCACAGTTTACCTCACCTCTCGTCCTATCTCCCGCCACCTCCCTTTTATCCCCTGCCCACTGTGAAGGAGGTATGGGGAGTTGTATTGGTATGTGCGTGTGTGTTTGTGTGTGTGTGTGGTAAGAGGGTTGAAAAGTTTGGGAAGGTGAAAGTAGGGGCTGATCTCGATCGAACGTTGGGAGGGGAGGGGACGGGATATGTAC